AAATGATTTACGGATTCAACGATGTTGTTTTAAATCTACAGAAAAGCCGATGAAGATACAGCTACATGGGTTTAGCGACGCCTCCAAAATCGCATATGCCGCAGTTATTTATATGAGATCTTTATACGAAAGTGGAAACATCGAAGTAAGACTCGTAGCTTCAAAATCGAAGGTGGCGCCGTTAAAGGGACAAACGATTCCTCGCCTAGAACTGTTAGGTGGCAAAAGTGACAAAGCGCAACTTCTCCGAAGATCGAATAGTCACCTGATTCCAATCGAAGTGAAGCAACCGCTTAGCGAGGTCAAGAATAAATCGGAAGCAACAATTAGCGAACCGCCTGTATCGTTAAATACTCGTCCACGTCGTATGGCGGCGGTCATCGGAGAGCTTAAAAGAGCCGAACAACTGAAACATATCTGAAAAACTTAAGAAAACTTAACGTAATTACAGTAATGTATATATTCATATTTTATCGATTATTGTCAACATTGGGGAGTATATTGTTGATCACTTGTACAGTGACTCAACGTTGGGGAGTGTTATAAAGATTCATTGTTATTATTCATTGTTATTATAAGGATTACGCAACTTTGGAACGCACGTGAACAATTTGATCACTGTGACGTATCACGTGAACATTTTTTGCCAGTAATTTATTAGTGTATTGTTTTTCGTATTTTGTGTACAATAAAATGTTTTGTGTGTATATTATCGAAGAAAAGGTTAAATTTATCGTAGAATTACTATTCATAAACCCCCCCCCCCCCAGATATATAGTTAAAAAAGGCACTGTCACCCCCCTGTGCCTCTCCCCTCACCATGGCAGGGGCAACCCTGATACATGTAATGCCATTTAGTGTGATTGATGGCTTCTGGTACTAGGTGATCATTCTGGAACAATAGAGGTAATATATAACTGAACTAATCTCACTATCACCAAACATTGTCCTTTAAAATATTGTTTTGAAGCTTCAAGAGCTTCCCAATTCCAAAATGATGCACATACAGGGATGGATTTGGACATGGGAGGGATCTAATTAGGTGCCGGTATTGATGTCGGGTGTGAGCATCAACAAAGGCATGGTGTGTAATCATACAGATAGCAGTGTTTTGGGGAAACAACACCTAGCTAACAAGTAACCGGCCAAGTAACCGGCAGGTGCCAGGAATATAGCTGCTAGTAAGGGTTGCAGGATCCTAGACAGAGTCCCTTAGACTGTAAGAATCTCAGGGAGAACTTCAAAATATTATTAAGCATCTAGATTCAATTTGCCATTATAATTCGACCATAAAATTTATCACTGACTGTTCTGATTGCGGGCGAAATATGCATCAGTCAAAAGCGCATTATTTTGATCGCGGGCTAAACGCATCAGTCAGCATCCATTTCCCAACGTTACGTAGGCATGGAAACAATGGTTTTCGTGACGTGTCGTTGGGAAAACTCAGCCAAAAGACTCGGGAACGATGCGCCACTGATGCACTTTTCTCCCCCAACGTGACGTAGTGATGCACTGCCGCCCCAATGTGACACCGACTAGTATGTGGCGAAATAAAGTCGCGACACAAAATCGTACAACTTGAGAAGTGCGACATTTTATATGCGTTTTTCATAATATTTTGCGAAATATAGCTTTGTTTACATTCATTCCTGTGAAAATATATTGTTTTAAAGGACTTTGGATCAAAGACAATCAATAAAATGTTGACAATTCTCGTTTGTGTGAAAATTTTGACTGATGCACTCGCATCAGTTGCATCAGTCTGGATCCGCGCCTGGTTAGCTTGCACCTTATTCCGAATACAGTTTTTTTCCAATTATTATTATTATATGACATATTAGTGTAATGTAATAAATCTCATTTGATTTCTATAAACTTGAATAAATAAACTGAAAAACATACAACACAGACACAGATCAACGCTTGGGCTCCCTGTGAACCACAAACATGTGATCATGGCCACCTGTTCAAAGAATAGCTGTATTTTGAATTTCCGAGGTATTTTCTTGCTGTTAAAGTGTTAATCTGTATCTTCATGGTTAGTATTTCTTTGAGTTAGCGGGATTTTGAAAGAGGTAAATATTTACTACAGTAAATCGTTTATATATAAAAAATTTCACACTGTCGAATCAAGGTTAAATTTATACGTTTTTGTCAAGATACTATACTACTACTTTGTAATTGTGTGCCACTATATAACCTGGTTTTCCATGTCATATATTTGGTAACTGTGGTCGTACGGTCGTAAAGATTGAGTCACGATCTTTCTCAACAGCTGAATTACAACAGTTCAACACTGATAATAGGCAGAGTGATTATAAATAGCGAATATTTATTATTTATATGTGGTTCACATGTAAAAACTGTTATAATCTGGCCGTTGAGAAGGATCGTGACTCTATCTTTATGACCGTTGCGACCATATGGAAACCAGCCTTTAATACAACGCATTTTAGACCTTATTTACTATTTAGTTCATTCCCTGCCTTAGTCCAAGTAAAAAATAACTTGGTTTGTATCCAGGGCAGGAAAAAAGAATTTTCTTCCTGGGAGCTAAGTCTGCATGTGCATAAACATATAATGTTCTAGCCAGGCCTTAAACCTTAAATATAATGTTCTAGCCAGGCCTCGGTCACGGACATTGTCCGACCCATTCGTGAAATTGTCCGACATAGAGAGGAAACCACCGGACATTCTGTCCGACCAAAGTGAAATTGAGGTTTATTGTTTGTCCGACCTGAGTGTATTTGTGTCCGACCGAACTGTAGCTTTGTCCAACGTAAATCAAAATGTACCCTACCCCAGGACTAGAGGCTCGTATGTTAAATGGAAAATCAGAGTACTATTGTATAAAAGGTGAACTGGAAATTTGTTTTAACGTAGTCAAGCACGGGGCGGGGAGCGAAATGCATGGTGAAGTGGAAAACGGCCTTAAGTTGTCTAAGTCTTTTACTGCTTTTCTGGAAAGCAAGTTAATTTTGGCTTGGAAATAAGTATGAAAGAAACAAATTATTTAATATCTTCACAACATTTACCATTCAGAATTAATACATTCTGCTGATATTCATTTTGTCGGCATTCAGACTTATTTTCGAGTCTCGAAATTGAACTGAAGGTCATCGGACATATGTCCGACCCAAACTCAACGTCATCGGACATTTTGTCAGACAGCCCTGTAAAAGATATTTTAAGGCCTGGTTCTAGCTGACCATGGTTTTAAATTCAAGGAATAATGTCTGTCAACCATATGTAATTATTGCGCCCATAGTGGGACACGGGTGTTAAGGTTTCCTTCAAATTTTCAATTATAGCAAATCTTCAGTTAAACGAATTTCCTACAGCTGTTTAACATGTATTTCCTGCGAGCAGTGCTCGCGTGCTCGTCTATTTTTTCCACCCCTGTTTGTATCTTTTTTTCCTAATATTTTTTTTTGGGGGGGGGGCAGGCTTTTTAAAAAAATAAATTTTTATTTATTTGCAGTTATATAAAATCAGCCTCGTTCCCAGGGATAAAAAATATAAGCATATTTAGTATATCGAGGATTCTAGCAATTAACAGTTGACTAGAGGTGGGATGTATATCACACCCCAGTGCTAGTCAACTGCTGACAAATGTATTAATGCCGGCTGTGAATGTTGGTTTATTTGTATAAAAGTGGACAAATTCTTTCGAAATAGAAGATTTCTAAGGTATATATATCTATATAATAAAAAAAAATTAAACGTTAAATGAGGTCTGGCTCAATTTGTTTTCGAAAGTAGGTCCGGCTGGGGTTTTTTCTGACTTAGAAATTTTTCTCAAATTTATATACTTTTTCCCCTTGACTTTCTTTTAATTCTCAATCAAATGGTTAGAGGTTAGAGAAGGGTTTGAGGTTGGCAACAGTTTATTTCATAAAAAATGAACTTTAAATATATAAATAAAGTAGAGGTGAGCCTATGTTTAAAAAAAGCCGATTGCCGATACCAATTGTTAAGAGCCGATATATTTACCGACCATCAGCCAATTAATCTGCAAAACCGATGGTTGCTTATTATTACTAATAAAAACTGCTGATGCATGTGACTTAAAGGAACGCGACAACAAACTTATTCTCTCGTAAAAACATGCAGGAACACGGCGACATTTCTCAGCATTGTGAAATCAACATTGTGTTACCGGTGAGATCTGATTAGTCCACGGAGTCACAGACCACGATAAATTAATTAAATTTTGCTGTGAAACTACGGATATAGACGACACAAGAAGTACAAAAAAGATTTAACTAATAAATAGTAAACTTTAGTACGAGTTATACCAATCATTTTTACAAAATCACTATCCGGTGGATAACGCTATCCGGCCTTCGTACAACCGGCCCCAGGACACTACCCACTGTTCCAGCTGCAAACCACCGCTAGAGTGATATACAGTGTTATTCTTAACTCTAATTCACCACTGCTAGCCTGCACATGCAGTCAGTCCTTGTTTTCGTTTTTGGACTTTTGGTGTGGGGAGGGAAACAGGGCATTTTTTAACTATATAACTACTGGGACATTTACCCCAGTAGGCCCTTTATTTGCCCCAGTAGTGAAGCAAGATTCTCAGATGAACTGGGCCTTTTTTGATCATTAGTAAAAATTCAACCTTGTTGAAAAAGCTGCATCTGCCTGCTTTCTCATATCCTCTCACATTCTCGACATTCCATCTTATAAAAGTCAGAACAGTCAAGGGCGGTGCTAAACGGGTGGGTGGTGGAACACCCCAAGTCGTCAGGTAATCGGCAGATTATCTAATCCCAAGTGGGAAGGAAGGAAAGAAACTAAAATATTTGAGTGACACTGATTATTTATTACAAATTTCACAATTAAAACGTTGTTTTGAGCACAGGAGGCCCAATCTCGCAAGATCAGTATAGTAATGTATATTATTGTAAAAACATGTCATAAAATATAAATTTTAAAATGAAATTGACTTGCCTATTTGATAGTGTGTATTCTCCTTTTATTCCTCTTTTGTTGGACTAATATTTTCTGAGACTTTGGAAAATATTAGTCCAACAAAAGAGGAATAAAAGGAGAATACACACTATCAAATAGGCAAGTCAGTTTCACTGTAAATAATAATATACATTATTACACTGACCTTTGCAAGATTGGGCCGCCTGTGTTTTGAGAAGATGAGATTTTTTAAAATGTGTTCGCAGAATGCAGGAAATGCTATTTCAGAGAACCAAATTTTAAAAATTTCCTGGGGGGCATGCCCCCAGATCCCCCTATACAGTAGTTAACTCATGCCTGTGGTACTCGGCTCACACCTTCGCCGATCACATATTATCCTGGGGAGAGAGCAAAAAAAAATGGGCCTTTTGGCAGTTTTGCCCCACCACTGAAAAATCCTTAAAAAATGCACTGGAGGGAAATATGACCTGCTGCAAAAGCTGGCTTCAATGAATTGACCAAATAAAATTTCACCTCAAGTGTGGGAAAACCTAAGCAAAAAGAAATACTGTCAGTATATATTTGCTTGTGGGTAACCATACATGCAACCTGTTTCACAGGGTCTCGCCTCCACCAGACCCCCAAACACCTGCTACGGCGAGACCCTGTTTAGGGTCTTGTCACGTGAAATCCCTGATTTGGGGATGTAGCGTAATTTATCATTAAGGCTGATTTTATTATTACCTACAGTCATTTCTAAAAATAGTAGATAATTAATGCATATTTGGCAGTTTTTCAAGTTCT